GATGCTACGATTATATAATCCCTTGGTAAGACTCCACCTAGAATATTGTGTCCAGGTTTGGTCACCATACCATAAAAAGGAAATTGCTGCTTTGGAAAAGGTTCAACGGAGGGCTACGAGAATGATTCCTGGTCTTAGAGGAATGTCTAATAAGGGGAGGTTAGCTGAGCTGAATCTGTTTAGCCTTGAGCAAAGGAGACTAAGGTAGACATGATCCAGGTATATAAGATTCTAACTGGTCTGGATGCTGTTCAGCCAAATGGCTACTTCAATATTAGTTTAAGTACTAGAAATTGTGGCCATAAGTGGAAATTAGCGGGAGAACATTTTAAAATGAATTTGAGAAAATACTTCTTTACACAGTATGTAGTTAGAGTATGGAATAGTCTTCCTGTTAGTGTACTGCAAGCTAAAACCCTGGGTAACTTTAAGTCAGAGCTAGACTGTGAGCTATTACTTAAGTTCTCCCCAAACGAGCTTGAAGGGCCGAATGGCCTCCTCTCATTCGTAGATTTCTTATGTTCTTATGTAAATGATAGATTATTCTACTTCAAGTTTGAAACATACCTCAAAATATTCTTGTCCTACACTGATGAGTATTAAGAGTAAATATGAATGTTTTCAGACCATATTTAACTAATAATTCAGTAATAATAATTTATCACTACCCCTTTCAACCCAAACATGATGGCCTGCTATTTGTCCACAGTTACATTAATTTTCAGTTGTTATAGTTAAGATAATTGTGAACTTCATAATGGACCATTAATACTAACAATGAAAAATTACAATGCATATGACAACCTGTCACGATCCGCTCCGTTCGATCCCGATGTGTGCCACGCCCACCTCGTTACCTCATGTTCAGCCCTGATTGTGATCACCTGAGTCCTGTTATGTCTAGCTTGTCTTTTGTATTTAGTCCTCGTCTGAGTCAGTCTTCCCGTCATTGTATTGTTATGCGTTTCGTGAGTGTCTGCCTTCCAAGTTTGATTAAACCCTGTTTACCCGGTCATCTGGCTTCTCTCGCCTGCTTCCCTACTCGCCCGCCCGCCAGTCGTAACACAACCCCACTTAGGTGTCACACAAACATATTTAACACGTAGGATTTTGCTTTATTTTCACATAACTAGCACAGTATTAGCTGTTTAGTAACAATTCATTCATTTGTAAGCACATTATTAAGAACCCATTACCCTGCCTTATAAACATTTGTAAACCATTTGCAAGTGTGTGTATAAACAGTAAGTGATCATTCAGAAGCATATTAATAAGAAACCATTAACCTGCCTTACAAACATTAGTAAACCATTTATAACTGTCCTTATAAACAATAAGTAATTATTCATAAGCATGTTATTAAGAACACAGTAACCTGTGTTACAAACATTTGTGAACCTTTTCTAAGTGTGCTTATAAACATAAGGCAAGCATTCATAATTCATATGTATACTATTAAGAACTCATTTGCTTGCTTCACAAACATTTGTAAACCATTTGCAAGTGTGCTCATAAACAATGTGTAACCATTTGTTAGCATATTATCAAGTGTTAAATTATAGTTAATTTACTGTTAAAGAGCAGACTTTAATATAATGTGTTACTAAGAACTCTATTGTTTTGACTTTTTACATTTTCAATCATTCTAGGCAAATTAGATGTTTGGCTCAATGTCACAGTCATCTGATTGTCTTGCCCCTTGTCCACGAATGTAGTAGAATTTCAGTTCAGCAACTTGTTCAACAGCAGTGACAACGATGCTAAACAGGAAGCAGTGAAGACACTGGCTTTGCTGATGGTGCTGGAGCTGGTAATTGCTAATTGAGATATAAGAACAGAGGACAGAGGAAAAAGACTTAATGGTAAACAGTGGCAGAGTTTCACATTTCTGTCTTTTTTCATATAACAGTCTATAAAAGCTAAATTGGATGCCCACAAGTGGACTGCCCCTTTGCTGTGACCCCCCAGGCTTGCTCTCACCTGTATGGACAGCAAGATGGGGCTGAAAAATGAATTTCCTCATGGGAATTAGGGATGTAACGATGTGAGACGATTCACGATTCTCAGTTCACGATACGATTTTCTCACGATTTTTTAACGGAATGAGCTGCAGACAAATTTATTCAAAAATATTCCTTTTTCTTTCTAAACTGTGCAAAATGTGTCCTATTCTTAACAGTGAAACTGAAATTGAATAATATTCTATTTAAAAAAAAAAAATCCCAAATCAAAATAAATGTAAAAAATCTTCAAATAAGTAGAGTAACGCTTTACATTAACTGCACCTTCATAATGCTTTTATATTGCATTCCTAAAACGTTCAGTGCACCTTCATAATGTATTCATTAAGTATTCATAAATCATTCATAAACATCATGTATGTATACCTTTACATCCTAACATTCCTTAACAGCTGTAATATAAATTAATAACAAACATTACATGATTATAACAAACATTATAATTGTATAATCATGTAATGTTTGTTATTAATGTATATTACAGCTGTTAAGGGATGTTAGGGTGTTAAGGTGTACTTGCATGCTGCTTATGAATGTTCTATGAATGCATTATGAAGGTGGACTGAATGTTTTATAAATGCATAATGAAGGTGCACTCAATATAAAGCGTTACCAAATAAACTAAGGCTTGCATGTGCAGCTTTTTAGCATGGTTTGCCCTTTTAATAATCGTCAAATTCACTCGTCATCTCGCGTTTGGTCAAAACCAAAAAATAATGTACGACGTCGACGTGAATACACAGTGACATCTGACATCAAACTGACGTTGTGAAATCAAAGGTAATATTACATTTAGTAATATTAGTGTTTCTGTTAAGTAAAGTACCGTGAAGTACTCCTAAAGTAGCGATTCATTTTCCACATCATACGGTTTCAATCGTCATATATTTACATCAATTTTTAACCGATTCGCGATTCATCGTTACATGCCTAATGGGAATAAATAAAATATCACTATTCTTTTCTGTTTTCTGGGATAATTGGATAGGCCAAAACACCAGAAACATTAGTATATAAGCTGCATTAAAAAACAATACTGACCTTGGAATTACATAATATTATGTTTTAAGTTGGTCGATTATTTAAAATGAATATTATCTTAGGTTGCATCAAAACACAATAATCAAAAATCAATCAATACTGTCAGAGTACTTTTAAAGTATTACCTACCTGTACCATTAACTTGAATGCTGCTGGCGGTAATGTTTAGTCCAGGTAGTTGTGAATTTGACACTGCGTTTACCAGTGTCTGTCCTGTTTCTTGGCTGCTAGGTACAGTTCCATTAGTAGTATCGAATTCCAGTTGCACCTCAGTTATGACTGATCCAGGCCTTCAGACATAGAATGAAACAAAAATTAGCACGTGTTTCAAAAGGTTTGAAGACTCACACTCTCATCACACTCCATGTCTTTCTCCCACACACAAATGATTTTAAGAATTTTACCTGAAACTTAACACAATCAACCTCAAGAAATTCCAGAAAGCTTTCTTATAAATGGGCTCCATCTACAGAGAAGTAAAACATTCAATACGTTTGTGTTAATATTTTTGCATCCAGAAAAATGAGCATTTCAGCTGTTAGTTTTTTATGATATGCAGATCACAGTGTTTACCACAAGTACAAATTGGTGCAGGTGTTAGTGAAATATGGCACAAATTGCTGTTGTATGTTTAATATAAGTATTTCAATATACAATTTTTAAATTGAGATTTGAAAATGCTGATGATTTGTGCGATTGACAAATTTTATTCTACAATGACAAATAGAATTTGGAAAAATATTTTTTAATTGGAAAATAATGATTAAATGTTTTGAATATATAGGACATCATCTGTAAGGCAATTATCATCAAGGATAAGTGTTGTTAAATGCAAATAAAGAAAGGCTGTCTGTCTGTCTGTACTACTTTCACTGAAATGTAAGTGGATTTTCTGTGTAACTTCTTCAGGATTTTGTACACTACGATCAAGTTAGTGATTTAAAAGAAAACAACGTGAGATTTTATACTAATCATTTCATACTAGGAAGCATTATTATTTCTTCTTATTAAACAAAGATCCTACAGAATGATTTAAGAAATACTCTATAAATCAGGGGTAGCCAATCTTATCCACAAAGGGCCGGTGTGTATTTAGGTTTTTGGGACAACCTGTAAGTCAGCTGTTCAAACCCAGGTGTCAGGACTCTTTCAGCCAATCAGTCCTTTAATTAGTGATCTAATTAGGGAGTTGCAGCGAAAACCTGCATACACACTGGCCCTTTGCGGATAAGATTGGCTACCCCTGCTATAAATGATACTGGGAATAATTCTTACCCGTGTCGTAATCAGGTTTGCTCTATTGATGTAAATCTGTGAGGTGGGATCCGAAAGTGCAGGGACAAATGTGTCAGTGGAGGAAAACTGCATCTTCACAAAGGCAGCAGCAGAAGTCGTTGTGGTTGTAGTGGTTGTTGTAGTCAGAGTGGTTTTTGATGTTGATGTGGTTCTTGTGTTTGTTGTGGTTGGAGTGCTTGATATAGTTGAATTGGTTGTAGTTCGAGTGGTGGCAGAGGTGACAGAAACGGGTGTACTGGTGGCTGTAGTGGTGGCAGAGGTGACAGAAACAAGTGTACTGCTGGCTTTAGTGGTGGCAGAGGTGACAGAAACAGGTGTACTGGTGGATGTAGTGGTGGCAGATGTGACAGAAACAGGTGTACTGCTGGCTTTAGTGGTGACAGAGGTGACAGAAACAGGTGTGCTGCTGGATGTAGTGGTGGCAGATGTGACAGAAACAGGTGTACTGCTGGCTTTAGTGGTGGCAGAGGTGACAGAAACAGGTGTACTGCTGGCTTTAGTGGTGGCAGAGGTGACAGAAACNGTGACAGAAACAGGTGTACTGCTGGCTTTAGTGGTGGCAGAGGTGACAGAAACAGGTGTACTGCTGGCTTTAGTGGTGGCAGAGGTGACAGAAACAGTTGAACCAGTAGCTGTTGCTGTGGCAGAGGTGACAGAAACAGGTGAAGTGGTAGCTGTTGCTGTGGCAGAGGTGACAGAAACAGGTGAAGCGGTAGTGGACCCAGAGGTAACAGATGAAGTTGAACTGAGATCTTCTGTGGCTGCATCTGTGGACGTAATAAAAATAGAGTGTTTCACTGGCAGTTAATATACAGTCTGACTTCAGTTGGAAGTCTACAGTTACATCTGATGGATAACTCACCAGTCATGAAGATAAGTAAAATTATCATTTTTATGGTCAGCCAGTTAGTCTTGTTTCTGGAAGACATTCTGAAGAAGAGAGAAAGTAATGAATTAAGTAAAAATGACGTAAGCATGACTGTACATGAAGTCATAATATAATTCTAACCCTTGATATTCCAAGAAGTATAACTATTGGCAGAATCAGTATTGGGGGAAATGACATCTGTATTAAATAATTTAATAGTAACTGTTACAACTCAAGGCAAAATGAAAAAGGAAAAGGTAAACTATTTTGATTGTGACATCAATAAAACCATTCTGTGGGATTTTCGCAAACTGGTTATGTGTACAAATTAGAATCCATAAGCACATAACAACAAATTTAAGCTAATAACTATGCTAATAAGCTAATAACATTTACTTAAATTCAAATGTTATACCTAGCATTTTAAAATCAAAGGAAGTTTGCCTCTCATAATGCTCTCCTTGATAAAAACTGGAGGTGTTTTTCAAAGACTTACAAACACATAGGTGTGCTTATTACAGACCATAAGTAAATATTGTACGTTGCCTAACCACCAAGATTCTCTCAATTTTTCACAACAAAGATAACATTGTCAGAAGCATTCCTCCCCAGAAATGATCAAGAGGAATATATGGATAATATAATCTATATATGTGTGATACATATGAAAATGTTTTTTTTTTTTTCAATTAAGGTTCTATATAAGGATTAAGTTCAATTGAACCTTTATGAAGCTAGCAATATTATATTGTAGCTATTTATTTAGTTTCTCATGTACTGCTTCTCACTAACTGATTATTTTTGCAATATACGAGGAATAACGCATGGAGAACCTTGTGTGAAATGCTAGTAGAACACAGTTCACTTGCCATTACTAATGTTTTCTCAGTTGTGGTTCTCATTTTGAATTGATATACATAGGTAGTCTGAATGGCTGATTAATAGCACCACATACGTAATACCAGGTAGAAGCCCCTGTCTGACAAACCAGTTTAAGGCTAGATGAGTTTTTACACACCATGGTTGTACCAAGCTGTTATTTTTTGCACCATTCTCTGAAAATTCCAGATACTGTGGTGCATGAAACACTGATTGTAGCTGTTTCTGAGATGCTGGAAGCGCCATGCCTGGTACCAGAATTCACACCATGTTTAAAGTCACTTTAGATAATGCGTCTAACCATTCAAATGCTTAGTAATACAATAACCGAATCACATTACCCTGCTTACATGCTGTATGTATTTAGCTGTACCCTCATGATTTAATGTTTGCAGAGGCTAACCATTAATTAAAAAATCATTAAATCAGAAATATTTACCAAAGACTCAGTTTCATTTTAAGCAGTATTAATAGGTGGAATGGACACATGAAAGTATGTCATATAGACCTAATTTTGTAGATTGTTATAATGAAAAGAACCACTACAAAAAGAAATGAATAAATTCTGTGTGTTCATCTTGTAATTACCAGCTTTCACACTTACCTTGTTAATGTGTCAGTTAACCGTTAATCTTCTGTTACATGCGTATGTAAGTCCACCTGTTCACAAGTATATGTGTAGTCGTGTGAGTGGCATGTCACAAAGCAAACTGTCTCTCATTTTATATCCAGAGGTGACGTCAGTTTATTTCTTCCTTGGAAAAGCAAATATTTCACTGTTGAAGTCACTCCCATCATTTTTATGTCCTTGTGTGCGTTGTGTAAATGGTGGCATTGTTTATTCTTGTTCAACCTTGAAAACACACTTTCTAGGATGTTTTGCGATGATATCATGACTAGTGAGTGTGTTACACAGTTAGAAATGAGTATAACTAAGGAACATTGAACTCTGATAAGAGTTTTGATCCCTATCAGAATTTTAGAAATAGGCGGAAATGTGTAACTTAAATATATTCCATTAAAATAATAAATGTCAAAAAAATTCTGCATATTGAGGTAACATTGCATCCTTTTGTTACTCTAACATTTTTTGGTCTTTTTTCATTTTCCTTTGACAGAATTGCCAGACACTCCAGTTGCAGGAATCAGGCCTCAAGGGTCCTTGTTGCTGGCCATTGGCATTTTCTTCCTTGCCAGCAATCTCTAGATATAACTGGTGTGTTCACTGTGGTGTACCAGGAGCAAAGAAATGATCTTAATTCCTTTACAAATGAATGACTATGTATATTAATTCCTATAGATTAGCAGACTGGGGTGGTTGCCCTGTAAGAAAGGGGACTGGAGGATGTGTTCCATCTTCAGGGGGATCACACTCCTCAGCCTCCCTGGGAATGTCTAGGCTGGGGTACAGGAGAAGAAGATCCACCCATTGGTCAAACCTCGGATCCAGGAGAAGCAATGCAGATTCCATCCTGGTCGCTAAAACGTTGGAAAAGCGCTTTGCCCTCACAAGGATGCTGGAGGGTTCATGGGAGTTTGCCCAACCAGTCTACAGGTGTTTTGTGGACTTGGAAAAGGCATACGATCATGTTTCTTGGGGGGTCCTGTGGGAGCGGGGCTTGAGCTGTATGGGGTACGGGGTTTGATTTTATGGACCATCAGGTCCCTGTATAACCGAGTGAGAGTTTGGTTCGCATTGCCAGCAGTAAGTCAGACTGGGTGCTGGATTCTGTCAGGGTTGCCCTTTGGCATTGATTCTGTTCATTGTTACGATCCCCAGTCTAGGGTTGGGGATCGCCAGAAAGGTAAGGGAGAGGGAGAGGGGGAGACGAGACAACCAGGGAATGGGAAAAAGGGAACACGGGAAACAAGAGGGATCTTTTTTTGTATTTTTTTTTTATTTTTCACAAAGACTTTCACAAACACCAGGTGTAACCGACTTCAGGAGTGACAAGGCCAAAACAACAAACAAAACACCGCTAACGAAAACGTCCCAAACTAAGCTACTGTAAGTGCAACACAAGGAAAACAAAAATACAACACCAGATTCTGACTCCCTAACCAAACATACAATAAACCACGTTTCGCAAAACAAAAAGGCAGTCACTCCTTACACACACCTGGTACAAACACACACAGTAAGCATACAAAACACAGGCAAAGGTACCAAAGGGAGAAGGCAAAGAGAGTAGTCCAAAAACAAGCGGAAGATCAAATAAACCATGAAACCAAAACAAACCAAAGCGACAGTACCAGAAAGGGGCGAAGCGAAAGTCTGAGTCCAGAACAAAACAGTCATACACGGATAGTCACAATCAATAAGCAAACCAATCACACAAATCCAAAGAAACGAGCAGAGCTCCCAAGGGATCTTGCTTTCCGGCTTTTCACTCCGGGAACAGGAAGTAAGCAGGCTGTCCGACGTCTCGTGGGCGGTGTCCTGGTCGAGGGGGCGGAGCGAACAACAGCGGCACGTGACATCATAAACGTTATGGACAGAATTTCTAGGCATAGCCAAGGGGTGGAGGGGGTCTGGTTGGGGGGCCTCAGGATCGCGTCTTCGCGCTTTGCAGATGATGTGGCCCTGCTAGTGTTGTTGGCCTGTGACCTTCAGCATGCACTGGGGTAGTTTGCAGCTGAGTGTGAAATGGCCAGGATGAGGATCAGCACCTCTAAGTCTGAGGTCATGGTTCTCGACCGGAAAAGGGTGGATTGCCCTCTCCTGGTGGGGGATGAGTTGCTGCCTCAAGCAGAGGAGGTTAAGTATCTTGGGGTCTTGTTTACGAGTGAAGGAAGAAGGGAGCTGGAGATCGGTGCAGAATGGGCAATAATGTGGATGCTGTAACATTCAGTAATGGTAAAGAAGCAGCTGAACTGGAAGGCAAAGCTTTAGATTTTCCGGTCGATCTACATTCCTACCCTCGCCTATGGTGATGAACTGTGAGTATTGACCAAAAGAATGTGATTGCAGATACAAGTGGCAGAAATGAGTTTCCTCCATAGGGTGTCTGGGCTCCGCCTTAGAGATAGGGTGAGGAGCTCGGACATTTGGAAGGATCTAACAGCAGAGCCGCTGCTCCTCCGCATTGAAACGAGCCAGTTCAGGTGGTCTGAGTATATAGGAAGGCTGCCTCCTGGGCGGCTCCCTGGAGACGTGTTTCGGGCATGTTGATACCCAGGGCATGCTGGAGATATTATATCTCTGGGCTGTACTGGGAATGCTTTAGTAACCCCCCAGTGGAGCTGGAGAAGGTGGCTGGTGAAAGAGAGGTCTGGGTATCCCTGCTTAACACTAGGGCACTTAAGAGATTTGGCGTTACAACAAATGAATAGTATCTGTCACTTCGTGTAGCATAATAAGTTGCTTACATCAAACAATAAGAAGCATATCTTATAAATAGCATAAATTAACTGAGTTATTTGTGTTTCCTTTACTGTCACCATTTGAGCTATCATTCCATATTCAGAGCCATTCATTTCTCCAGAATGTTAACTACATGGTAATCAAAGTCAAAGTCAAAGTCAGCTTTATTGTCAATTTCTTCGCATGTACTAGAAATTACGTTTCTCACTGTCCCATGCGCAGACAAGACACGACAAGACATGACCGAATAGGACAAACAGTAAAGTGCACAGGCATAACAAAAAATACATTGTAACTACTGAGTTCCAGTATATAAAGTGCAGGTAGCTTAAGGCATATACTTTGGTACTAAAATGGAGATATAAGTGCAATAGTATTTCCAGTATTATAAGAGTGTTTCTGTGCTGAGACATTCAATAATAATAATGACAGTAATAGCAGCTGTAATAGTAATAATAATAATAGTAACAGATGTGTGCAATTTGCATAGTGCAGAGGTAGTCGTTCCTGTGGGTCAAAGTCCAGGGTGTTTTCTTTTGGGGGGGCGCAGATTCCTAGTCACTTGCCAGTCTGGTGGCTCTGTTGGCTGGTGCTGAGTGTGGGGGGGGAGAGAGTTTAGTAGTCTCACAGCCTGGTGGATGACGCTGTTGCTGAGTCTGGTGGTGCGGGAGCGGAGGCTCCTATACCTCCTTCCAGAGGGCAGGAGGCTGAACAGATTGTGTGCGGGGTGGCTTGCATCGCTCACAATTGTGATGGCTTTGCGGG